GAGGTGCAGTCGGTTAGTTTTAAGCAGTCTTGGGTGAACACAGGTTAACTGCGTTTGCACCAGGGTCATCATTACTGGCCACTGAAGACTTCATATTTGACAGCTGAATGGCAGGGCTTACACTCTACTTTGGCAGATGTGAAGGCCTCTTTTACAGTCTTGGCATAGCAATCAGGGGGCTTTCCTTTGGCCAGGTCATGTTCTTTTTAACTGTATAACATATTTGTTATGTATACATGCATTATTGGTGTTTGGGGACCCCATAAGCCAACTTTTAATGCTGATGAAGCATTTCATAATGGCAAATTGCTACCACAACATTCCCAGATATGCATGCAACCTTCCTTTTGTCAGCTGTAAGACATGGCACATAAACATAGGAGTTAAAATAGGTGCTTGGCAATGTTCCTGATGCTGGACAAATGCTCTGAAGGGTAGAACTCTTACAATTAGTCAAGTACAAATGAGTATTTGAGGCTCTTGCCTGACATCCCATTAGCTGTGTCAAACCTGATATGGACTGAATGCAGAATGAAACATTGCCTAGAGTAATTTAATTTGAATGCCCTCACTGGGGAAAGTGTTAAAGCACAACTCTAGGCAAACCACTTTTTATTTCATTTTTTTTTCTGGGATGGAGGGGGGTGGGCTTGTTTTTTTTTTTTTATTTTTGGCATATTTGTCCCTTTTTTTTGTTTGGGGGAGCTTTTGCCTTCAGGTTTTGTCACCTTATTTTCTCTCCTGGCGAGTGGTGATCTCTACACTGTGCACCCAGACAAAAATACACAATGTTTAAAAGGAAATGGCTGATTACTGCAACTACATATACAATTAGAAACTTGGAATTATGTCAACAAAGTGTGTGTTGCAGTGGTCAAAATATTGATCTAGTCTCTTATTTATATATTTTTTGTCTTGCAGGAAGGATTCTACAAATTTTGTAACAAGAATGAGACTGGCCAGGGACAAGATAACAGTATGTTTTCCAATGCCTTGATGGCAGCTGCTGGTTTTGGGATTGCTGGATTGGTCTTTCTCTTGACTGTAAGATGAACTGCAAAGGAAATACCTGCCACCAATGATCGCATGGACCATCACATAGGACCTTTTTCTCGGCTGTAGTTGTCAAAGATCTTGCGGCAAGACTTTCAAAGGAGTGATCTGAGCAATATGTTGCTTGGAACAACTGTGCACTGCCATTTTGTGTTTTTGAACACACAAACTTTGCTTTCTTTTTAAACATTGTGATTTGGGGAATTGGCAAAATGGAACCCAAAAAAATTTGTTTTTTGTTTTCTGTTCATATTAGTGTGATTAAAACAACTTTTAGAGTGGCTTTACATAACAGTAGAATGAATGCTCTTTTAAAATATAAATAACTGAGATATGGCAGTTCTTTAATGAAAAGCACTATAGTGCTTATAAGAAAGCAAAGGGTAGGCTAGTACAGCAGTTGACCCAGCCATTTTGGCTTTCATAAATGTAGCTGTCGCTGATGAAAAAGGATTCCTGATTGGCTGCTGTTTATTAGGCTTTTCTTAAGGAAATTAAAGTCTGTGTCTACTAAAGCATACCATTTAATGATTCCAGAATTCCTGTGGGAGTTGAATCATGCCGGGCTTATGTAACCAACTCCCTAATGAACATACAGCTATTCTAGCCAATATCCGTCGTGGGGATTATACATTAATAGCACACGGTGTTTCTTTTTAAACATTCATGGTAAACTAGTGGAAGTTTTTGACAAACATTTCACTGCTAATATTATTTTTATCATGTACTTGGCAAAATTTGTATTTATGCTATAATATATTAAGATGGTGCCCCCCCATGGAGATCTGGCATCTCTGTGTGAGCCTTTGTAACTTTTTACAAGGAAAATAACAATAATATATTCTATTATTGTGCTTTATGTATAATCTGTACTATATTATTTTTTATTTTTATGAACATGTTTTAATAAATATAAGCATCTGCGATGCACTGGAGTGTGGGTTTGTTTTCTTTAGTGGTTTTTTTGTGTGATTGATGCACATAAAATTAGAAGTTTTAGAAAGGTGGACAAATGCACAAACTATTTTGTAAAGTATACATAACTTAAAGACATGAAATGTTCTTGTAGAATATATTTAATGTTTGAATAAAATGGAGATGTGATGAGACTGGCATCTTGTGCCAAGAGAGGATATCCTGTTGTCAAGATAGGGAAATGGCCTATATTCTACAAATACACCAAAAATCTGAAACCCCTTGACATCAACTGCATATTAGCTAATAAACAGCTTTTTCAATGTCTTGCTGAAAATTGGGTGCATTTGACACTTTTCTGATTTAGGTGAAAGTGATGTGGATTTATTTTCCTGTGAGCAGGGAGGTGACGCAAGTGGATGCAAAGCTTTACTGCCCTGACCATACAGTGTAGCATGAATCATGTGTAATGTATATTTATGTCTTTAAGAATTGCATCAATCAACCATTACAATTTTATATTTTGGAACATTGCTTCCTGACACTGAAATTTAAAGTGGGGAAACTCAGGAAGTTTGGGGATCACTGGGTAACGCAAGGGTTGCTAGGGACACTGGATTTGCTGGAGACAGAGCGCTGGGGCAAAGACTTTGGGGGCCAGTGGAGGTTTTGGGTTCACAGGAGAGGGCAGGATGATGCAGACTTTGGAGGTACAGGAGAGCAAGGGATGCTGAGACATAGGAATCACTGGACACAAGAGTTGCTGGAGACACAGGTGTCACTGGGGGGAGTGGGGTCACAGGAGGACTGGAGCTGGCACTAGGAGCCAAGGTCTGTGGCTAGGAATGTTACCTTTTGCTCAGGCAAAGAGTGCTAATTTGGGCGCAGCAGTGGTTCTGATTGCTATAGCCTCTGCTCATCTAGTTCCTGGCCAATCAGTGGGTGGGACTGGGTGATGCCTAAAGCTGCCAGACCAGTACAACTGGAGCAAAGAAGTTCTACAGACATGTGGTTCTTTCAAAGAAAAGCCTTGAATGTTTGTGGAACTAGAGGTAAGAGCAGCACGTTTGTGGAACTACCAGTGATAGACCAGCTTAAGCTCTGCAGCTGATCAGTTACACAGTGATTTAAGGCTTTCTACAGCTTTCTCAGACAAAAAAAAAATGTGAAGCCACCATAAGCTTTTCCAATGCTGATTTAAAATTGAAGATGTTTCTACATAGAACTTTAAGGCAGTCTTTGAGGTTTCCAGTCTAGACTTGTAAAGCGTTTGCCATTGAAGAAAGGGCCACAGCCAAACCTGCCATTTTGTATACATTCCCTAAAATCTTGATCGTTTCTTCTATTCATGTTTTTCAAGGAAAATTACTTTTCCACAGGACATACAAACCTCAGCAGTGAAGTGTCAACCCCCAGAGGAGTATCCAATGATGCGGAGTCCTCTAACTTGCGCTGATAGTTCTTCTGGCACCTGTCTGGATGCTGGGCTCCAATAATACTCCTCAAACTACAGCTTATTAAGTAGCACTCTTTAGGGAACACAAAATAACTTTAACCTCCAACTCACACCAGGATTCCAATATCTTCAGACTCAGTGGTCTGGCTCATGGCTGAAAAATGCAAAGATATGTCAACAATAAGATCATGGCTGAGCATAGGAACTAGCAAGACTTTCTGCAAAAAGGCATAATTGCTAACGGGGAAGCCAATTTCTGGCTGCAAGGTCATCAGGAGCTGTGGCTTGTAGCAACAAGAGGCCTGCCATATCTCAAGGACTCCTGGGGAACCCCCTCAACATGTGGGCCCCCCTCGATGGGCCATGTACCAACCCAAAAGCTCGGGTGCCGCTGAGAAGAGAGGAAGGAGCGTTCTGTACTACACTTCAGCAGACCACCCCCTCCTACCTCTCAGCAATGAATAGCACTAGCACGTGGAGGTTGTCTAGGAGGATTAGACCAATGTAGCCCTGCAACTGGCTCACTCCCTTCCTGCAACTGTGCAGGCATGCCTGCTGTGAGGACGTTCAATTTGGGTGTGCTTACCCTGTCATTACAGACCTGGGCCAACAGACAAGCAACCATACTCGCTCAACAGTCACTGAGCCACATCATCTCCAAGCCAAAAGGAGAAAACAGTGAGTCAGGCCCTAACAATCAGGTCCTGGCACTATAGGATGTCCTAGAGTGAAGAGGTTTTACCTCTATCATCAGGGCCTCCCACTCTAGGAAAGGCTGAACATGGGTGGGCTTAATTATCAGACCAATATGAAGAGCAGCAACACTAGCAGAGTTATTCACAAAAGGGTGAAGAGTTTGGAGGAGGCAGGAGAAGTGAACAATCTAGGACAACATAGCTGATTTGGAAACATTCTCCAGTTCAGCTCACTTTCCAGATCAGCGATGTTGTCCTAGATTGTTCACTTCTGCTTTCTCCAAACGCTTCACCCTTTAGTGAATAACCCTGTAGGTGTTCTGGAGTAAGGACAAAAGAAGAAAAGAGGTGGGATTGCACTTCTCTGTTTTATTGGCTAGCTTTTGGGTGGTCATATGTGAGTCACAGGAGGACCAGCTGACCTTTAGTATGCTGACATGAAGTGGCCAGGAAAAAATGGCTCCAACAGTTAGATTAACCTGCATGAGCAAGAACAAAAAGAATACTGTATAAGTGCCATATAAGCAATCAATGTAAAGTTTTATTTATACTGAAGCATTTAGAGGGCACATAACTTGCTCTTTCTCACAAGGCAGTAGATTCAGGGCAAGTCTCTCTGACCAGTCCCGTCATTGTTTCCTAGAACATATGCTGTCGCCTCTTGCACAGTTAGCTGGTCTCTCCCTTTTCAGAAACCATAACTTTCTGGTTAAACATCTGTTACTAATAGCTGAAAGCTTCAGACATGTAATATAATTACTTTGTTTATTTACATGCCTTGGGAGCTGTAAATAATTCATGTGCAGTCAATGATTGCAATGACTATTAGCCATGAACATGCGAGCAAACTGTCTCATAAAAACTGTATCTGTATATTCCAAAGACTTTGTACTCATACTACTTTGATTTATAGTGTTTGATTAACGAAGAACTTAAGTCAGAGCCGCCACCATGTTGTAATATGTTTTTTACAGTATATTTAGCAAGGGAAAAGAAATAATGGACAGGAGTGCTTTCAGTGTTATTCAGACTATGGGGTGGTGGAGAGAACATCAGAACCAATGGGAACATCCAGCATAAGTTCAACCCATTCTAATAAGGGATCTGCATTGTTAGACCTTCATGATTAAGGTCTTTATGAGGGTAACCGTGTTTCCTTGTAGTGAGTGTAGTGAATGAACACTGATAACATGAAATAAGAACTGAGAGACACTGGCGTATCAAATCTTTATTTATCTTTCACCTGGCTGCACACACTTGAACTGAACATTGGAGGACATTTGTTGCATGTTTAGATACACTTTTCACGTGTTTATACACATTGTTTTTTATTTCGAAAGGATTGATAAATCATTATTGTTTCTTATCTATTAATATTGACATTGCCTGTTTTTACACATTTTTTATATTGTGAGCATGGCGCCAATTTTTTTTTTTTTTAAGATTATAATGTTATTAAGGCTAAAAAAAATCAGAAGGAAAGAACACGCATTAATCATGGCTTGAATCATAATTCATGCATTTTTTAGGACTTTCCGTAGCCTTTACATTTATGATTTTAAATCAAAATGATGCTTGTCATGGTGTAGGGCTGTACAGAGCCATCTTTACAAGATCAATCGTCTCCATAATGTCTCAGATGACTGTTGCACTGGGGGTAGCCCTCTTTATGCAACTTTCCTTTCTCATCTTTGGCAACAGCTCACACACTCAGTGGCTGTGCAGAAATGTTGGGCCTACTGTAGGATAGACTGCAGAGGATATAAACAGCATGTAGATTGATGTGCTATAATATGACATTGTCTGTGCAACACAGAAATTAGTTGTATCATTATTAAGGTGTAAATTGTTGTAAGGGTAAATAGGGTTAGATGGTGCTGTACATGATTCATAGGTAGTATAAAAGCCCCAATTTGTAACCATCATTCCCATTCAGAAGGGGTGCCCAGACCTTACATTTTTACAGTGGTGGTTTCATAACACCCCCACTCACATAACCTCAAGTGGCACTTACCTCATGAGGTTCATGATACAGAAGTATACATTCGGGTCGTTTCTGCCCGTGCGTGCCCGCTAGGGGGCGCGC